AATTTTAAAAGTCATTTACCAAACATCATTATTAGCTTCTTTGACCAATCAAACAGCTGAAATGGGTCAAACAAGCTAAAAGCCGGCTGATAAGCCATTTTCCAAACATACCCATAATCAACTGAAAATGTAAGTTTGTCATTACTTTTCCGGCTGAATGGTATTATTTTCCAATAAGTTACGTAAGATAATCTTTAGGCATGTTTTTTATATATATTACTATTTGGAGTTTTAGTGACGAAAAAATGACTTTGAAACCAATTATATATAGTAAGCGTGGTTTTAGAAAGGAAAAGATGGAGAGTTTTATACGGATCCGGAGTAACTGTTTGCATGCTAAAAACAGGAGACATAAATGACGAATATGGTTGATCGTAACTGAAAAACTTACATGAGTGGAATATGAGATGAAGACTTCATATTTGAAAACACTGGAGACTATCATGACTTGGAAGGAGATAAACGAACGTAATGACCGATACATGCATAGTGGGTCGGGATCCAGTAAATGGGTGGTTCACAATGACTGACAAGCAGACAAGTTGAGCTAATGTTAGGGGGTAATTAGTGACTAATGGTGCAAGGTAGTTCGGAGAATGAGTGGTGTATGTGTCCTTTCTCAGTGACTATGTTACTAGTTTCTGGTAGTACGAAGTAATAAATGGGTGTGTTATATGGTTGCGTTCAGGGACTTCTATGGATATGAAGGGGGCCGTGTATCGGTGTATGTAACTAAAATGTTATAAGATGATTTAGTCTTTCAGTGGATGTGAAGTTGTTTGGTTCTATGGATATGAAGCGTCCAAACAACTGAATATTTAGATTTTCAGTGTATGTAACTAAAATGTTAGAAGATGATTTAGTTATCCAACTCATCACCAATGTTCAGTGAATATTTTGGTTCTCTTCAAAATTAAAGTGCTAGAAGTTACGTTCTACGTATTTTTGCGAAAAGCTTCTGCTTTAGCTAAACCAAAAATGAAATCAAAAGGGTGAACCACCATTGGAATTGATTAAGCTAAGCTTACAAGTAAAAGAGATTTAATTTCATTACCCTGTTCTTTAACAATTTCGTGCATAAGACATTTAAGACCATTGAAAGGTAGGGATGCAGATTCAAAAGAAATTGAAGATGGTGGATGACTAATAATTCAAAAGAGTAATTACTGTCATGTTTGGAAAATACTGACATGTTTAAAGTCTGTTACTGCCAAAACATGACAGTAACTAGTCCCATTTTGGGAATTAAAAACATGACAGTCCCATTTTGGAATTTACCAACGTTTTTAGTCCTACTTAGGGTAAATTCTCTTTCTCGTCTAAACAAGAATAAGGAAATTTCTTAAAATATTTGAAAACACCAAGAGCTACATAGTAACATTGTTAAGTTGATTCTGTAATGTATGTTGTCTCGCACTTAAAATAGATCGTAATATAGTGGTGTAAGTACGAGTATCGTCTCCACAGGGACGGACAAAAGGGAATTAAGAATTAACTAAATTCAGCGATTAAAAAGAAAATAAAATAAAAGCGTCGTGCGAGATTGGTTGGTTTGGAAAATAAAACTAATGCGAACAATTAAACTAGGGGGTTCTTTCTAGTTAATGACGAAGGGAACAGGGATCAATTCCGGGGTAACCAGATTTCTGGCAGATCAGGCCTAATTACATGAATTTAATTTAATTGAGCCTAGCTAATCATTACAAAGTTCTTACCGCTCTCGCGGCGTAGAGTACAATAATTTAGGGGACCAGGCTGATCTCTCATGCGACAGGATCCTAAATTATTGCCAAGACGAGCGAGCTTACGGCCCCTTAATCGCTACTAATCTCTTAGCGAACGATTAAGTGTGTGTGAATGTGTCCTAGAACAAATTATATCTCTCTTAATTTATTCTACATGCAATTGTAATTCTAGTGGCCATCTAGGTTACAAAAGATATCAGTTAAATTATTCAAACACAAATTAAACGGCATTCATGCAATTAAACCGACAAGAATCTAGCCATACATCATGATTAACCCCTTCATCAACCCCAAATCCCTAATTAAAACTACTCACAATTCATAATTGAAGAATCAATAGAATTGGAATCAAAAGAATTAATTGTCATTAATTAAAAAGGTGGAACTTACAAAGAATCCCAAAAGATTGATGAACAAGGCTGAAAAGCCCTCTAAAATTCGTGTTAGGCACTCTCTCTAAGCCCCCCCTTGAAAACGGGGGTTTAGAGGCTGTTTAAATAGAAAAATCGGATGAAATTTGAGCTGAATTAGGATTTTCGGAGCCAGGCACGATGCCAGACACGATCGTGCCTTCGATCGTGCCTCCGGAGCAAAAACGCGCATTTTGGGCAGGCACGATCGTGCCTCCCTCCAGGCACGATCGTGCCTGGCAGGCAGTAACTTCGCGGTGCTTTTCTCTTCAGGCACGATCGTGTCTGACTTTGAGGGCACGATCGTGCCTACTTAACTTCCGAATTTGACAAAACTTCCTTCATGATAGTTGTAGATAATGAAGTCCTCTATCCACACCAATTTGCCGAATGTGATTTGAATCATCCAATCAAGAGATATGATCAAAACGGTGGAAGGTGTCTTTCTGAAATCGCAGCAGAGATCAGCTGACTTCATCGTCTGTTTTCACCTTCTTCCTCTCAGATTCTCGCAAAGGTGTCTTCATATGATTTGTATCCCTTGACGTTAGCTTTCATATGAAACTTGAATCGTGTCCATTGGTTGTTTCTACAAAGAGATATGCTTGAACGATTGACAGAAGGTCATCCTGATCGTCGTTTTCAAGCTTCATTCATCTTCTTTTGATCCCGAAGCCAATCCTAGAGCTCTTTTTTCCTTCAAATCTTTATCGTGAATCTTCCGGTGACCTCCAAAGCTCTCAAATCACTCTCGAATTCTTCTCGACTCATCCCGATTTCTTCTCAAGTGCCGGTACCGGGCTCAAATTCCCTGATTTTGACTACAAACAACACAAAACTCGAACCAACGCCCGGTAAACATAACTTGAGCTAAAATTGAGACTTGCAACACCTTAAAGCTAGGGAAAACCATCAAAACCGATCCCAACACGCATCAAATACGTGTCAAAATACGGACTTATCATTCTACCATAGTCAAAACAAACTAACCAAATAAAGTTAAATGCTCTCAAATTATATTTGGGAAAGTTCCCGAAATAAGACTAAAACAGTTTGAAAATTCCAAAATATAACTGTCATGTTTTTTATTTCCAAAATAGGAGTAATTACTGCCAAGTTTGGAAGATACTGCCATTTTTGAAGTCTGGTATTGCCAAAACATGACAGTAATTAGCCCTATTTTGGGAATAAATACATGACAGTCATAACTTGGAATTTTCAAACCTTTTAAGTCTTATTTGGGGTAATATTTTCATTATATTTTACTTTAAAACATTTATTTGTGTCATGTCACATGTGAACTCATTTTTCTTAATAATCATGTCACCTCTCAGATCTTAATGTTAGTAGGACGGAGATAGTACAATTTAAAAAGGTGGACTCTTTCATGTATTATAAGAGAAAAATTCTTAATGTACATGAGTTGTACAAAAAGTATACACCAAACTCCTCTAATTGCCTTTACACGGACAATTCGTTCGAAAAGGAGCAATATTTGATGCGAAAACTTTCTTACTTGTCTGTGTACACATGCAATGTACAATTTTGGTATACATTGGAATGTAGTCACATATTTGTGTATACCAAGAATTTGTGTATAACAAGAATGCTAACACATACTACCTCCGTTCTTAGATAAATGCAGCATATGAAAATTTAACCTATTCACATGTTTTACTTTGACTACGTTTTATTTATTGTAAAATTTAACCTATTCACATGAAAATTTAACCTATTTATGAAAAAAAATTGTTAAATTTGTCTCATTGTAAATTTTCAAAGAGAAAATTGGGTGTATATACATAATTAAATATGTGTGTTTAAGTTAATATTATGAATTACCAAAATTAACTAGATAGCCTTTATTAAAACCCACCGTTGCACTTTTTCTATTATAACCTTAGGCAATTCCTTCATCCGTGTATTATTCCTTTTAACTTCCTCCCACTATCATACATAAACAGATCATCGACGCCTCTATGGAGCAAGTAGTTATGCGCTTTATTTCACATCCAATTTCATGAGTCATCAACAACATACAACTAAATCCATTGCAGTGGGAGTGTAGAAACTGACCATCCATATCCTAAAGGTTTGTGAATCAAATGAAGTGGATCAGGCTCCACTTAGGGAGTTTAACCTTCTTCAAGTGATTTTTGAAGCTTGACAGAAGTACTAAATATATACGGAGAATTACTTATTGTTTAGAACCAATAACATATGAAACCCGATGGGTCTAGCATTCTCGCAATGAACTTATGAAAGTAGTGCAGTGCGCTATATGCGAATTTCTATGTGAAAAAAACTAAAAGATCAGAATAAATCTCAGAGTCCACATGCTTGTGGTTCACATATGATATACTTGTATACGGAATTGGTATGAGATTTCCGATCTGCCGGCTTCTATTTGCAGCCATAATTGCGAAGGTTACAAACGGCAGTTGAAATTTTACGGGTTGCATATTAACAAACAAAGTGCTATGTATTTCAATAAATAAAATAGATGCTACTAACTACAAGTAGCCTATTTTTTTAGGCTATGTAGCATTTTTTCCCATTTTCAAAATCTATTTTTTTAATATGTTTACTAATACAAAATTATATATATTAATGATGAAAGTTATGTCTCAGCAAATGTGAAATGTTGACCGTTGCATTTATTTATGTATACCAAGAATTGGGGAGAAAGAAGTCAACAAGACCACCTGAGAACAAGTACTAGTCCACAGTCGAGGTAAACCAAACATTATCTCCACCAATATGTGTCAGCATTTCACTGTAAATGTTTAGGACAATAAATGACTATTAATAGTCAAACCAGGCGACCCCTGATTTGAACCATTATCCCCAATCATCATCTAACCTTTCTAGCTAGCAAGCTAAACTTGTTCCATCTCAAAGAAGAAAATTCAAATTCTCGAACAGATTGAAAATTCCAAATTTGCTTTCTTTGTTGTTTTTCCCCAACGCACCTTCCTTTAATCTCTTTCTGCCAAAAAATTCCAGTGGTGGGACGTACTGTTTATGTGATGGAGTCTCGGATACTTTTCGTCATCTTATGTACTCATCTCTTCTGCGCCACCACCATCGCCGCCGCCGACAGCATAGATGTCAACTATGAATACCATATCTGCGGAAGTGCCTGGAAAAACTACACCCAGAGCAGCACATATCACAACAACCTTAACACACTCCTTTCCTCCCTCTCGAACAGGTTGGACGAATACGGATTCTACAACGGGTCAGTCGGGCAGGATCCCGACAAGACAAACGCCGTCGTCCTCTGCAGAGGGGACATAGACATCGAAACGTGCCGTAACTGCGTTACGGACGGAGCGCAGAGGATGACGGGGTTATGTCCTTTTCAAAAGGAGGCCTTCCGTTGGTACAACGTTTGCAGCATATATTACTCTGGTGACGACTCCATCATAGGCTCTGTGACGATCACCCCGAATATCGTACAATACAGTGACATCTCTGTCTCCTTGAATCCTACTCGGTTCAATCAGTACTTGAAAAGCTTGGTGGATGGATTGATGAGAAAAGCCGCTAATGGCGGTCCGATCCTCAAGTTTGCGGCGGACATTACGACGACGCCGGACCAGCAGACCATTTATGCGTACGTGCAGTGCACCCCTGATTTGTCCGTACGGAACTGTAGTGATTGTTTGACCACTGCTTTCAGCAACTGGTCGGGATCGCCGGGGAACGGCAGGATTGGGGCGAGATTTTTATGTCCGAGTTGCTTTTTCCGGTATGAGATTAGCCCCTTCTTTGATTACACGCTGATTACGAATCCTTCTTCACCACCACCGCCCTTAGTACCGCCCCTTGGCTCAGGTCAGTATCATACCGATTGACGATATCATTCAATTTTGTGGTCAACAAATTTACAGGATGATCAAACTTCCACATGTAGAGTAATCACTCTGTCATAAGGAGTAATGAATTGGATAAAAAAGGTGAAATGAGGTTTAGGTGGTATTCTGTTCGTCTTATTTTTATTACTTGTCTTATTCTTATTACTTATTGCTTATTCTTATTTTATTCAGATCAGATCAGATCAGAAAAATTCAGATCAGATCAGAAAGATTCAGATCAGATCAGAAATATTCAGATCAGATCAGATCAGATCAGAAAGATTCAGATCAGATCAGACCAGATCAGAAACATTCAGATCAGATCAGATCAGAAAAGTTCAAACATGATTTATCACTTTTATTATTATATTAATTATTATTATTAATATTGTTATTACAATTATGATTATTATTATTATATAATTATTATTAATAATATTAATAATAATATGATAAAAAAGAGATATTAATAATAGTTATAATATTTTAATATAATAATAGTAATATAAATGTAATTATTAGGAAGACTATTATTATTATTATCATCATCATCATCATCATCATCATCATCATCATCATCATCATCATCATCATCATCATCATCATCATCCTCGTCGTTATCGTGGTTATCGTTATCGTTATCGTTATCGTTATCATTATCATTACCATTACCATTACCATTACCATTACCATTATCATTATCATTATCATTATCATTATCATTATCATTATCATTATCATTATCATTATCATTATCATTATCATTATCATTATCATTATCATTATCATTATCATTATCATTATCATTATCATTATCATTATCATTATCATTATCATTATCATTATTATTATTATTATTATTATTATTATTATTATTATTACAATATAATAATAATAATAATATGATTAATGTTAATATAATATTATATTATAATTATGTGTAATGATAATTATAATTACAATTATAATTCTTATAATTATAAGTATAATCAATTGTATTTATTACAATTATATCTATAAATATTTATAATTATAATTGTAATTAATTATAATTATAATAATTATAATTATAATTACAATCATAATTATAATTATGATTACAATCATAATTATAATTATGATTATGATTATATTATAATATTATAATTAATGTTAATATAATTACAATTATTATTAATTATAATTACAATAATTATAATTATAATTATAAATATAATTTATGATTATAATTATTAATATTATTATTATTATTACTATTGTAATTATTTTACGGAGTAATTATAATAATATTGATAACTATAGTTACAATTATAGAGATAAATATTGTAATGATAATTACAATTACAATTATATAAGTAATTATATTTAAAAATATAATTACAATTATAATTATATCTATATTTATAATTAGTGTAATAAGTATAAATTTTTTCATTTTAAATTTAATTTTAATTATTATTATTATTATTATTTTTATAGTTACGATTATAATTATAATTTTATTTAAATTATATTTGTAATTGCAATTTTAATAATTATAATTATAATTATAATCATAGAAATATTCAAATCAGATCAGATCAGAAAGATTCAGATCAGATCAGAAGGATTCAGATCAGATCAGAAACATTCAGATCAGATCAGACCAGATCAGAAACATTCAGATCAGATCAGAAAGATTCAGATCAGATCAGATCAGAAAGATTCAGATCAGATCAGAAAGATTTAGATTAGATCAGATCAGATCAGAAAAATTCAGATCGGATCAGATCAGAACTTAAAAAATTCATATCAGAAACATTCAGATCAGGCGAAGAGAACAACTTCTTACTCATCCAATTTTGGTAGCTATGGAGTGCAATTTTGTTCACAGGATAAACATCACCCCTTCCCTTAGTTGTTGGCATGTGACATTTCATTTATTATTTTCTTCAAATTGTTACTCCGGATAATTTGTTTATTTATTATTAAAACAAAAATATTAGATTTAATAACTTCTTTAAGATCTTTCTAACGGAACCAATATTGTATATAAAAAAGCGAAAAAAAACTCTTTTTTCTAGTTATTCATTTTTAACTGGATTTTAATTTTTTCCTAATTTTTCATATGCAATATTTGTACTATATGAAAGATTGTAAAAAAAAAAGTTTTTTCAAATTGTATTAACAGTAAAAATGTTAAAAAAAATTACCAAAAAATAAAAAATGTCTTTCAACATGGAAGACAATTAAGGTGGAGGTGAACATCACCTCTTTTAAGAGGGTGAACAAATTTTGTTTATCCAAATAGAACTAATCAAACATTAATTGCAAAAATGCAGGACTATAATATTAAAATTTCGTAAATAGAACTATCTTTCTTATCATACCCTTACTCTGTTTTACTATAATTCATTTTTATTAATAATTACTCTCGTATAACATAAAAGAAATAGCATAACATTATTTATAATAAAATGTAAAGAATATCATAAAACAAATGTAAAAAATTTAGAATACGAAAATAAATATTAAATAAAATTAATAAAGTATCAAATTCGGAAATTGAAAAAAAAAACTAAACTAAAATCTTAAAATAATTGAATAGAAAATTTTAAAAATGTTAAAAATGAAAATATGCAAGCATGTAATGTCGCTCGCCTCAACAACCTCCCAAAACCTCCATCTTTGACCATTGGAAATATTTACGAATATGTGTCGGTATTTTCATCTTGATGGCAATTTTAGATATGAATTTGGCATTTTCATAAACAAACATAATTCTATACTATCATCTAGCCTGACAAGCCTGTTTCGATCAGTCTCATCTGATCTATTCTAATCACGTCTGATCTGGTCTGAAAACATGCCAAAAGAAAACTCCTACAAGATAATTGAAAGATAATCTATTTATCAAGATAGGACTAAAATAGTAAATCTTTTATTTCTGAAGTGATTGTGTCTTATTTGTGTCCCCACCGCAATTTTTATTAATAATCTTCCCTAATTTGATTTTGCAACATCGTACAATTATCTGTAAACAAAAAATTGTTATATCTTGATGCACAAAACGTGGGTCCCTTATGGCCCAACTCAATATCAATATTTAATTTATAAAAGCCTTGAATATTTCTTAAGGTTTCTACGGACTTTGCTTCATAGAGAACTTCGGGAATAATATCTCATTCATTTCAAATTGATTTTCTACAAATAATAAGTGGAAATGTTCACCTTACGAAATAAATTATGTAAGGATTAGTCCTACTAAAATAGAGACATGAATCTTACATGTTTTAGCTCCTAAGTGGTGAACAACATGAATACTCTGTAATTTCTGAAGTCATTTTTCCAACAATAGTCTACATGGAACAACACGACTTTTAATTTCTAGTGCAAATCACAACTCAGTAACTCACCGTAATGTGCGAATGCAGATTCACATGTCTTGATAAAAATTTCTTTTATTTTCTTTTATCAATCTCTAAATAATCCAGCTTTTGTTTTTGTAGGAAAGGGTGGTAGTAAAAGAACAATAATCACTATTGTAGTTTCAATTGCGGCGGGACTTATTGCGCTTATTATTTGTACTTTTATCGTACTAAAGATAAGACGCAAAAAGATGGCGCGGAACTACTCAGAAGGTAAATATGGAGTTTATAAATACTCGTATAATTAGTACTACTACACCTAAAAAGTGCACTTTAATTGTTCATATATTTGACTTTTGATGAGTAGAATTTGTAAAATAAAACTTGTTCTTTGTTTCCATTTGAAAGCAGTTAAAGAAAATGACTCATCTATTGATGAAGTTAATAAAGAGGAGTTTACACAATATGACTTCATTACCATTAAAAATGCAACTGAAAACTTCTCGGATGAATGCAAGATAGGACAGGGAGGATTTGGAGCTGTATACAAGGTAAATTTAGCAAAACAATGTTTCTCCCATACTGATAAGTTTCAAACTTTAATCACTTGTCTATAAAATTCATTAATTTTGACTTTAAAACTTGATAAATAACTATATTTCTTTTTTCGTAGGTATATCTATCTTGACCAAATTATACAATTCCAAAATTCTAAAATTATTTATCGAAAGACTCTTATTAAAAATAACCACTAAAAGAGGTAATTGACGAGTAGAGGAAGACTAAATTGGAAAAGTTTATTCTATATGCATAGATGTTTTGTAACGCGCGGGTACATCGTATGCATTAGAAGAAAAAATTTATCATAGAGTTCAACAAACTAGATAAGTAGAAATTAAACTGTGGAAATTCTGATATAAGAGACATAGGTATGAAAATTCTAAATGAATATTTATTTAAGGATTGATGTATTATGATCTTATTTTGTCTACCAACTCTCTAACTATAAAGGGTAAACTTGACAACGGACTGGAAGTTGCAGTGAAGAGACTGTCGCAAGCATCCAATCAAGGAAATCAAGAATTCAAAACTGAGGTAGCTTTAGTGGCAAAGCTTCAACATAGGAATTTGGTCAGGTTGCTTGGATTTTGCCAGGAAGGAACAGAAATGCTCCTTGTCTATGAATTTGTTCCCAATGGTGGCCTAGACAGGATGCTATTTGGTATCATTTCTTTTTTATTTTAATCAAACAATTCCTTTAAGTTTTGGTTGTTTAGGTATTACCGAAAATTCAATGATAAAAAACATTGACATTTAGATCCTGCAAATTGTGGATACTTGCATTGGGGCATACGCTATAAAATCATCGAAAGCATTGCTCGAGGGCTTGTTTACCTGCATGAAGACTCCCGCTTTCGCATTATTCATCGTGATCTCAAAGCCAGTAACATTTTGCTTGATGCGGATTTGAATCCAAAAATTGCAGACTTTGGAATGGCTAGGTTGTTTGCTAAGGATGAAACTCAAGGCTCTACTAGCAGAATAGTTGGAACCTAGTAAGTATATACTCCACATCTTAATAGTTGTTCCAAGCTAAGCACTTTATATTACTTGTTTAGAACACTTTATGATGTTTTAATTTGGCTGAATATCAAATCAATTCTTGTCTGTCAACAATTATATTATTTTTGTATTATGATTAAGATTTACATCTTTAAAATATATGTTTATATTTTTACAGAACTGCATAAAACAAATTTGAATATGATAAAAATTTGGAATATAATATTAGAAATTAAAAGGTTACTAAATTTACTCCAAAATGATAAGCATGACAAGTAATATAGAATCAAATGAGTAACTCAGACTTTTAGTAAACCTTTAACTAAAAGCCTTATGTTTGATCATTTGATGATCATTCTAATTTAAAAGGCTCTTAATTAAACCATATTTAGATCGAGCTAGGATTCTGTATATGTTAAAATATCAAACCTTATAGGAGCACTACAATACCTTAGAACATAGATACATGTTTGAATGATTGATGAATCCCGATCCACTGTAAATGTAATAAACTCCTTTAATTTTTGCGTGAAAAAGTCATGCAAAAATTTATTTAAAATATTTTTATCGACTCACCTCAATAACTTATACTACGTATTTGATTGGAATGCAGTGGATACATGGCACCAGAGTACGTATGGCATGGTCAATGTTCTACCAGATCGGATGTTTACAGCTTTGGGGTGTTAGTCCTGGAAATTATAAGTGGACAGAAAAACAATGAATTTCAAATTGAGGAATCTATGGCTGACCTTCTAAGTTATGTAAGCATTAATACACCACACCGTTCTAAAATAAATGCACCATATTGAGTTTTACACAACTTACAAGTTATATTTTGACAACCTTTTATTTAATAATGCACTAAAAAGTATTTTAAAAAATATTGATACATTTTTCTCATCGTAAAATTTCAAACTCAAATGTTTCAATCTTTTATTAAAACAGAATTAAATATAGTATTAATTTTCAAATTTATTCATCAAAAAACATGAAAAAGAGAATGTTGTGTTTAAAAGAGAACAAATGTAGTAAGAAGTTCCATCGAAAAATGTGTTTACACAAGTTGCATGAGAGCAATAATTTAATACTTTATGCAGTAGCAAAAAAACATACTTTCTCCGTTCTTTTTTAGTTGCAACGGTCAACATTTCACATTTGTCAATGCACGTCTTTGACTGTAATTATATCTTAATCTCTATTAGTAAAAAAAATTAAAAATTGAATTTTGAAACTTTAATTTGTAATGAGATGAATTGAACAATATCTTTTTTAAAAAATAATTTTGATTAAATAATAGCGTAAAATTTAGTCAAAGTAGAGCCTGTGAATAGTGTAAAATTTAACATGTTGCGATTAAAAAGAAACGGAGGATAGTATATAGATCTTAATAGAGGCAATTCAAAGATTGGAATGAAAAAAATATACATAGGTCTACATACAAGAAATAATGTGAATTTTCAAAATAAAAGCAATACGTAGTATAAATTTTCTACGTATATGAGTAGTCTGTAGTTAGTATCGTGTTTGGGAGTTATTTCCAATTATGATAATAATATTGTCATATTAATGTTTGATAATCTCCAAATATGAAAGTCTAATTTCAGGGTAACAATAATGTTCTCCGGTTTTGGGAATATCTCCGGTAACGATATTAATTTTTTGAGTGAAATTATAGGCTTGGACAGAGTGGAGAAATGGAGGGGCCTCGAGTGTGATAGATCCAATGTTGGTGGGTGAATCAAGTCCACTGCCTGACATAGCCAAATGCATCCACATTGCGTTATTGTGTGTTCAACATAATGTTGCACATAGACCAACAATGACTGCCGTTGTTCAAATGCTAAGTAACTTGTCTATGAGCCTTCCAGTTCCTTCAGTCCCTGGATTTTCCGTTCATAGCAGTGTCACTAGTTCAGAGTCTTCCACCAGCCTCCAGTTTTCAAAGAATGAAATGTCAATTAGTGTGCAGCTCCCCAGATAGAGTGGTATATGTTATTGTCAACCTCGTGAAAAGTAGGAGAGAATTATTTTGGGATTGGAAGCAATCCTTGTTTAGATGGTTGGAGCTGAGATGACTTGCCTTAACTTTTCAAGTTTACCATGTAACATTATTTTGAAATATTTGAATTAATCAAATAATAATGTCCCATAAGTGTGGTGCAATGATGGCGGATATTGTAACGGTTTCCGTTACAAGAGCCACCTTGATGGTAGGTGGCTATATAAGTGCTCCATGGTCCTCCCACTCCTCCTATCACAACATACATTCACATGTATGCTTAGCTCTATAACCGAATAGGCTCTAAGCAATATACACCATCTAGAGTGAGGAGTGAAGTGGGAGACGAAAAGGATTTCCGGTGTTCTTCCACGTTCTTCGACCGTTCATCAACAATATGGCTGGAGGTTAGCGATCCTATTATTTCCGCTGCGTTGTTATGATTTTAGGCTAACATTTGGTATCAGAGCCTGTTTAATCTCTGCCTATTTGTTGTATGAACATCATGAATTTTATATGAACATTCGGTATATACATGTTCATATATGTGTTCATCACATCACACACATATATGTTTTGTTCGTATATATTATATATAAATATATATATGTGTATATGTTTAACATGATTTCCATGTCATATGCATGAATTGAATCATATGTATGTGTATGATTTTTGTGTTCATATGGAAGCATGGATATTTTGTGTGTGTTCGTATGACACATGTATGTATATTTGTGTCATATAATTTTATGTATGATTTTATATATAATCGTATGTCCTATAATCATACATATATGTTGTCCGAAAATTATATAATAATTGTTCGGAAATCATATGAGTTTATGAATTTGAATTGTTATATGTATATATATATATTTGATTTTGAGAGATATATGCATATGATTTTCTCAAGTTCATATGTTAACCTTTTAAATTCCTATCATTATGTTTGATGGAATGGTTATGGTGACATTTAATTCTTGAATTTAAGTGTTTTAAATTTATGAAATATATATATGCATGTATATGAACCGTGTGTATATACATGTGCTTCGTAATGTTTTGTGATTCTTCTATCCGTTTATAATTCGGAAAATATTAAAACGGATGGCTAATTAATAATTTTTGATATATTTTACATACATACATATGGCGTTTCTACATGTATATATGAAATTGAACATGTAGTATTTTGTATCTATGATTGGTATTTGTATGTGTGGAGGAGATGCTATCGGATATGGTGGCCGCCGGTTGATGTAGCACCATAGGGTGCTACGGCGGTAGTGCATGAGAGTTTTGATGCGCCTTCATAAGGAACGCCATGACTTTTTTTTATGTTTTCCGAATTTCTCCATGAAGTTATAGAATAAGTTTTGGACTTATTACTATATTTGGGATCCACTTTGAATGAATTCAATTGTGCTATTTTAATTTGGATAAATTAATTTGGATTTTGGAACTATTTAATTCTTTTTCCAGCACATTTATTTTAATTATTACGTGATGCATTGATTTTAATTTTTATGCATTGCATTGAAATTGTGCATTGAAACTGTGCACTATATTAATCCGGTCCGTAATGCATAATGTTAGATATTAATGCCTTTAATGCGTAATATTGAAGTATTTAGTGCATAACGTATAATTAATATCTTTGATGCGTAACGTATTATTAATGCCTTCAAATGCGTAACGTCTTAAATTAATGCCTTGAATGCATAACGTCGGGAATCAATGCACATATTATTCCCGTTAAAGTTGAACTTATGCATAATTGTAATTGACATAGTGCCTAAAATTTAAGCACATTAAGTAAATAAAGTTCTCATTCCGTTACCTTTAAAGTTTTTCCCATGAATAAATTATTTGTGGTAGTACCCAAACAACAATTAACGTGAGAGGTTTAATCGGGGAAATTCTTGGGAAGTACAAACTAGTTACGCTTCAATTTTGATACTAGTTTTACTTGAATTGTTAATTTGTCTAAAGAATTATTCTTTAATAAATCCTAGCCCTCCGACTATCCTGGGAGCATATTTGGGGATTGTCCATCACGAATGTTGTTTTAAGCTTTAAAGGATTGCCTTTGTGATAATATAATTTTATTAATTTTGGAGTAGCCACAGCATCCTTAATTAATTAAAATTATATATTAAGAAGCCTTTGGCGAAAATCACACTAAAGTTAGGCATAAAATTTGTAATTAATTATACGCAATATGACACAATTTATCCCACAGGAAATTTGTTGTATTTTGTATGATTAATTAGGATAAAATATCGGACTATGGTCATAATTTATCCCACAGGAAATTATGATTCGGAATATAGTTTGATATGTTTATCGGTATGGGTACAAAATTATTTAAGACTCATGCATAAGAATTTAGCCCACAGGCAATTTTTATGGCGGTTGAGTCATCATGGTGCATTATTTACATTGGTAATTCATGCAATTCAGTTATATATGTACCTCAAAACTAACACAAGCTATATATGGACCTTTTCAGCTTCTCAACCCATTACTCATTCCGAATTTTCGTTAGGCCTTGAAATTCCCGAACTAACTGGTGACAACTATAAGGTTTGGAGAGAAAGAGTTCTCCTACACTTAGGTTGCATGGACATTGATTATGCTATTAGGAAGGATGAACCGCCCGCCATTAATGCACAAAGTACTCCGGCTGAAATTGCGCTATATGAGCGATGGGAGAGATCCAATCGACTCAGCGTAATGTTTATAAAAACTAAAATTTCAGCTGGAATTCGTGGCTCGGTTGATCAGCATAAGAATGTCAATGACTTGCTTAAGGCTATTGATGATCAATTTGTCACTTCGGAAAAGGCCTTAGCAAGTACCTTAATCATGAAATTCTCCTCACTCCGTCTCACAACCGTTAAGGGTGTGCGAGAGCACATCATGAAGATGCGGGACATAGCGGCTCAATTGCAAAATTTGGAGGTAACAATGTCGGAGGCGTTCTTGGTGCACTTCATTCTGAATACCCTTCCTCACCACTATGGGCCATTTAAAATCTCTTATAACACACATAAGGATAAGTGGTCAATTAATGAACTAATGACCATGTGTGTGCAAGAAGAAGAAAGGCTCATAATGGAGTTGGGTGAAAGTGTCATGCTAGCTACAACCTTAGCCAAGAACAAATTTGACAAGTCTCGTACAACCACCTCTAAAGCTAAGGGTAAAGGTAAAATACCACCCAAGGCTGACATTAAGAAGGTACATAAGTGTTATTTCTGTAAAAAGAAAGGACACATGAAGAAAGATTGTGCCAAGTTCAAGAAGTGGTTGGAGAATAAAGGTATTTTATCCTCCTTTGTTTGTCATGAATCCAATATGTGTGATGTTAACACTAATTCATGGTGGATTGATTCTGGTTCTACAATCCACGTTGCAAACTCTTTACAGGGTATGCAGAATCTAAGGAAGCCAGTGGGAAGTGAGCAAAGCATCTTATCCGGAAACAAGATGGGCTCACATGTGGAAGCCATTGGAACATGCACCTTAATTTTAAGTAGTGGCTTTGTTTTAACTTTGGAAAAGACTTTTTATGTACCAAGTTTTTCACGAAACTTAATTTCAATTTCAAGACTAGTACCATTCGGTTTTTCCTTCAATTTCAAGAATAAAGTTATTGATTTATTCAATAAATCTACTTTTGTTGGAAAAGGTACTTTGTCTGATGGTCTTTACCGTATTGATTTGCAAAATGATGCCACACTTAATTCATTTCATGTGCATACTGGCTCCAAAAGACCCAGTGTTGACGAGAATTCCTCTATGTTATGGCACCGAAGATTGGGTCACATCTCCATTGAAAGAATTAAGCGATTAGTTAATGATGGGGTACTTAGTACTCTTGATTTTTCTGATTTTGAAACTTGTGTAGATTGCATTAAGGGTAAGCAAACAAACAAGTTTAAAAAGGGTGCCAATAGGAGTTCAAGTATATTGGAAATCATACATACTGATATATGTTGTCCAGAAATGGACATGCCGGGTCAGAAATATTTTATCACCTTTATTGGCGATTACTCTCGGTATACCTATGTGTATTTGCTTCAAAATAAGTATGAAGCATTGGATGCCTTCAAGTCTTTTAAGGCTGAAGTTGAGAATCAATGTGGGAAGCGAATACAAATAGTTAGATCCGATAGAGGTGGTGAATATTATGGTAGATACACTGAAAATGGACAAGCACCTAGTGCGTTTGCTAAGTTTCTTCAAGAGCATGGGATTGTTGCCCAATACACCATGCCTGGGTCTCCGGACCAAAATGGTGTTGCGGAAAGGAGAAACCGAACTCTTATTGACATGGTGCGGAGTATGCTTAGCAACTCCAATCTTCCTAAGTTTTTGTGGGCTGAAGCACTAAAGAAGGCAACGTATATTTTGAACCGAGTTCCAACCAAGGCTGTCCCTAAAACACCTTTTGAGTTATTCAAAGGTTGGAAACCGAGTTTGAAACATATGCGTATTTGTTGATGCCCGTCTGAAGTGAGAATTTATAACCCACATGAGAAGAAATTGGACACAAGGACTATTAGTGGTTTCTTTATTGGATACGCACAGACCTCTAAGGGTTACAAGTTTTATTGTCCATCTCATACGACTAGGATTGTGGAATCAAGAAATGCAAAATTTCTTGAGAATGACGTAGTTAGTGGGAGAGATCGGTTCAGGGATTTAATTCCTGTTCATGATCATATGGAATCCCAACCTTCCACGTCATCACAGAGGTTGATTATTGTACACAGTACCCCTCAAGATCAAATTGGTACTGATCAATCTAATATTCCACAATATGCTGGAAATATTCCAGTGGATCCACCTATTCAGGATAATCAAATTCCTGAGGAGGTTGTTGAACCGGAAGATCCTCATGGAGATGATGGTTTAGCATTAAGAAGATCTACTCGAGTTAGAAAGCCAGCAATTTCTAGCGATTATGAAGTGTATTTGCAAGAAACTGACATTGGAGCCGAAAATGATCCTGAAACGTTTTCACAAGCCATGAGTAGCCCGGAGTCCGATTTATGGCACAAAGCTATGAAGGAAGAAATGGACTCCATGAAGAGTAACAAAGTCTGGGATCTAATAGAGTTGCCTAATGGGGCCAAGGCTGTTGGCTGTAAATGGGTCTATAAGACCAAAAGAGATTCATTAGGCAACATTGATAGATATAAAGCAAGACTTGTTGCTAAAGGCTTTACTCAAATCGAAGGAATTGACTACAAGGAGACATTCTCTCCTGTTTCTAAGAAAGATTCCCTTCGTGTGATTTTAGCTTTAGTTGCACATTTCAATCTTGAATTGCAACAAATGGATGTGAAAACAGCATTTCTTAATGGTGATCTAGAAGAAGAGGTTTACATGAAACAACCTGAAGGTTTTTCTTCTAGTCATGGTGAGCATTTAGTTTGCAAGCTTAATAAATCCATTTACGGTTTAAAACAAGCCTCCCGACAATGGTATCTTAAGTTCGATGGGATAATTTCTTCATTTGGCTTTGTTGAAAGTCCCATGGATCATTGTATATACCAGAAGGTTAGTGGGAGTAACATTTGTTTTCTTGTTTTATATGTGGATGACATTTTGCTCGCAACAAATGATAAGGGGATGCTACATGAAGTGAAACAATTTCTCTTTAAAAACTTTGATATGAAGGATATGGGTGAGGCATCTTTTGTCATTGGGATAAAGATTCATAGGGATAGATCTCTTGGTGTTCTGGGTATATCACAAGAAACCTATATCAACAAAGTTTTAGAGAGGTTTCGGATGAAGGATTGTTCACCGAGTGTTGCTCCCATAGTGAGAGGAGATAAATTCAGTTTGGACCAATGTCCAAAGAATGATTTTGAAAGAAAATCCATGCATAATATCCCATATGCGTCGGCAGTTGGTTGCTTGGGATATATCCAGGTTTGTACTAGGCCGGATATTTCCTTTGCTGTCGGGATGTTGGGCCGCTACCAGAGTAATCCAGGTCTGGACCACTGGAGAGCTGCTAAGAAGGTCATGAGGTATCTTAAGGGAACAATTGATTACAAGCTTGTGTATAGAAGAACTGACAACTTGGAAGTTGTGGGTTATTCTGACTCGGACTACGCCGGTTGTGTTGATTCAAGGAAATCGACTTCGGGATATATTTTTATCATGGCCGGTGGAGCTGTTTCTTGGAAGAGCGCCAAACAAACTTCGGTCGCTACTTCTACTATGGAGGCCGAGCTCATTTCTTGTTTTGAGGCTACATCGCAAGGTGTATGGCTTAAGAATTTCATTTCTGGGCTTAGAGTTATGGACTCAATATCTAGGCCATTAAAGATTTATTGTGACAACTCTGCTGCGGTCTTCCTATCAAAGAATGACAAAAGTGGGAGTCGAATTAAGCATATCGACACCAAATATTTGTCTATAAGGGAGCGCGTCAAAAATAAGATAGTGGTCATTGAGCACATTAGCACAGAGTTGATGATTGCTGATCCTTTGACTAAAGGCATGCCACCATTCAAATTCAAGGATCATGTGTCGAATATGGGACTTTGTTCCAATTTGTATTAATACATTCAGTTATTTACGAAATTCTTATGCATTAAGACATTTTTCTCATTAAGATGTGCACACTTCATTATGTTGAGAAAAATGTACCATTATTTTTGGACCAGCAATAAACATAAGGTTTATTCATTAAGTTTTGCCGTAACTTAAGGGGCAACATACATTGTGATCACTAGTGGTACTACTCAAGCTAAGAGGACGTAACACTATGGTTCATGTCTTTTGTTTCTTAAGGTTATCCATTGCACCAAGTGGGAGAATGTAACATTATTTTGAAATATTTGAATTAATCAAATAATAATGTCCCATAAGTGTGGTGCAATGATGGCGGATATTGTAACGGTTTCCGTTACAAGAGCCACCTTGATGGTAGGTGGCTATATAAGTGCTCCATGGTCCTCCCACTCCTCCTATCACAACATACATTCACATGTATGCTTAGCTCCATAATCGAATAGGCTCTAAGCAATATACACCATCTAGAGTGAGGAGTAAAGTGGGAGACGAAAAGGATTTCCGGTGTTCTTCCACGTTCTTCGACCGTTCATCAACAATATGGCTGGAGGTTAGCGATCCTATTATTTCCGCTGCGTTGTTATGATTTTAGGCTAACATACCATTCTCCACGTCCAATATTCATGAACACGTTCATATAGATTTACATACTATATTGTAATTGATACATTATTGAACTAACAATGGAATCAAGTACATCAAAAAATGTAATTCCGATTGAAAAGTAAACATTGAGTCTACTTTCATAGTTATCTTTATATGAATTTTCAGATTTTGGCTATTATGCATCTAATGTTAAAAAAGAGCGAGTTTGGTGGAATAAAAATGAGCTCATAAGATAAGCATAAAAAAGCACAAATATATGTCAAAATCACCAAACATCCATAATTCCATATGAATATATGATTGGTTGTTTTGGTCGATTCTTATGATTAACTCGATCAAAAAGTAAATTTATAGTTGCATTTTGTATGATTTTACCATTAAGCGACCTAAGATAATCTAGGTATGTCAAAAAAAAACCCGGCCCGCAATGACCTGCCCAGATCCGAGCCATTTGGGGCGGATCCGGCCCGCCCCATCTTGCAAATGGGGCGGGTCTGTCCCGCCTATACAATGGGGCGGGCCTAGGTATTAGTATTGACAGTGACGCCTCGACCCGTCCCGACCCACTCAATATACAAGTATATATACTTTTTCTTAAATTATACTACACATATACTTCAATATACATACGTGTGTATATAATAAATCATAAATTCTTTGATCTTATTATATATTACTACCTCCCTCCCATTTTATGTGTCTCATTTGATTTTGGCACAATTTTTAATAAAGTGGTTGAAAAAGTAAAAGTTGTGCTTGAGATTTGAGTATAATAAAGTGAAA